AGAAGGTCAGGTCAGAGTGACTTGGTTCGAATGATTGATTTTAGAAATTATAGATCTTTTTGCATATTTATTATGTCTTACAATCTACTTTACGAGACTTTTTATAGATTTCTATCCACGTCGCTACATATAAGTTGATAAATAAGAATATAGTTGACAATGATGAAGATTATGTTAAAATTGAGAAATGCCATTTGGATTTTATCAATTTGATCTTGAAAAAGGCTAAAATGGATAAAGTTGTTGAGAAATTTAAACAAAACCTAAAAGTCAATGCCACCACAAATAAGTTGATAGACATCGACATAAATCCACCATCTTTATCTATAACTAATAACTAAGAACCATGTGTGGTTTTAGCACGTTCAAATAAAGGACCAAAATGTGCTACTTCTTGCAAAACATTAAGAGACGTGCTAATATTGAATTTCCTATGTTTTTAATTACACGTGGCGCGTTCGACAAAAAAGACAGAATAGTACTCAACTATAACAAACATGCACTCAATATTGAATTTCCTATGTTTTTAATTACACGTGGCGCGTTCGACAAAAAAGACAGAATAGTACTCAACTATAACAAACATGCACTCAATATTTTCTAAATCTTTGACGTATACAAGACTTTTGTTTATTTTATATTTGCAAGAGCATGCTTGAAATGATGGTGGACCTAATATAGTGGGCTTGAATTAGATTTTCGAACTTGATTGTGGATGATATATGGCATATTGCATTTGTGTCGTGAATTATGACTTTCGATTAAATTGATGAGAATACCCTACGTGAGTTGGTGCCAGAGCTGGAGGTTCCAGATTCAAAACGATATCATAAGAGCATGCTTGAAACGGGAGTGAGTCTAATTAACTGGGCTTACAGTAGATTCTTAGACTTTAATTTTGGGTGATATAGACTAAACTGTATTGATTGTGTCATGAACTATAACTTTTGATCAAAGTTTTGACAAAATCCAACATCATTTTGTCAGTTTCAATCTAACTCGGTATAAGAAATTTTATCACGTATCTTTTGTAAACTAAACGCGCCTTTCAAATAATTGATTAACAACGTAAACTTTGTGGGTATGTCCTTTTCAACTTTTGGTACACATCTTGTAATCCTAAGTTAACAATATAACTAACTAGTAATTGATATAACATATAAAAGGCAAACCCACACTATCAAAGTGAGATGATTCTTTGGTACTCTTCACACAAAAGTCACTACATTTTTTGGAGGGAGACTTTTCGATTACAGTTGACACAATGAATAGCTATTGTAAAGAGTGGAAAATTTGGTCACAAATTTATCCTAAAGAATCTTATTGATATATACTGTTAAGAGCCGTGCCATACTGCCTTTTTTTCATTTTTCTTTTCAAAATCTCAGCTAGAGATAATATTCTTTGCTATTGTCATGCATATCGTGAATCATGGGAAGAGGTTGAAGTGGAAAGATTGAGAATCATAGAATTGGGGGGTGGTTAATTTTGTTTATTCAAAATAAATATAGTCAATTTTGGTTTATATTTATGACAGTTTTTTGTTTTTTTGCGCAACATTTTAATTGCATTGAAGTTCTCTGACGTTCGCTCATTGTCATATTTATGTCCCAACTTTTTCTGTTGAATTCTTATCCCAATCCTCCATAGCGCGTGCTCGTGCACACACACATATATTCTAATGATAGTTTCCATCCAAAAAAATCTGGTGGCGGACGAAAAAGGACTTAATTGACCATCATATGCTTAAATAAGAAAAAAAGTTCAACAAAATATTTCTTTTCTTGTTCCAACTACGCTAACAAAATATATGGATATAAATCGTCATCAATGACAATATGTGTTAATTAATGAAAAGTTGATGATAGAATACGGCTAAAAAAACTTGGGACATAAGTGTGACATTGTACAAAGTTTGAGGACCTTTAATGTAATAAACAAAAACTGTGGTGTAAAACGGCGGTAAGAAATGATAGAGGACCTCACTACATTGATTCACTTAACGACATAAAAACTCCAAATCTTTGTGTTTATAAGTTCAATGAAATGCATTATGAAGAGAGGCTTTCAGAAAATAAGACTTCGGATTACGGTGTGTTTGATGGATATTATTGAAGAAATAATGTATTTTAAATAATAATATGATGGGAAATATGTGGTTAAAAAGTAAGGAAAAATTATTGATATGATGTAAAATATTATTTTATTGAAAAGTGTGGTTGAATTGAACTTCTTCTTCTTGCTCTTTAGAGCACAATCAAAATTGTGTACCAACTTTGCATAGCAAGAAGGAACAATCAACTATATGCTATACTTGTTACTTCTTAAACCTCATCTCGGTAAATCCTCCATTTCGAGATATAAGTAGCAACTACATGACGACAGCTAAGCTTGTTTATTTAATATATCAATAATGCATATTTCTTAGATTTTACTACTCAATAAATTTTCGTATTATTCTAATTCTAATAATATATACCAAAAAATATACGTAATAATTTCGACCAAACATCACGTATAATATAAATTATTGTAAAAAGAGTTACCCCATTAGAATGCAACAGACATGATTAAGTGCACAGTACGGCAGCCGACATATTACCAAATAAGGCAACTATCCTCGTTATGGTCTCGCCCACACTGTACCAGACCATTCCGGTCCTAGCTCATGGTTTTGCATACGTGTCGCGTTAAGAGATGTTGATTGGCAGACCCACCGGTTGTGTGAAGGACTACGTCACAGAGAAGATGAGTAGAGAAAGGGTCCCGAAGATTCTAAACCTTTTATCACCGACCTCTGTCCATCTGAATTTGACATGACATATGGATCATCGATCTAGAAAGTATCAGATCCTGAACTGCTGGTCTACATTAGCTGGGTTGCACCGCCGGTTCATTGGAAAACAATGGGAGCCTTGCGATTTCGGGATTGTCTACATTACATTTTTACCCTTAAACCACTGTCTGAGCCCTATTTTGAGAGAAAAAACATATTTTTAAAAAATATGTGATTAAAAATTAAAAATAAAATTTAATTTACATATAATATTATTTTATTGAAAATGTGTGGTTGAAAATAAATTTTTAGAAAAGGGTACCCTTTTTTTTATTTAAAATACAATAGGAAAAAAATATTTTTATGTTCTTTTAAAAGATTTTTTGAACGAAAAACTCATCAATATAATAAGCAAATCAATGATAGTTGAGGATAAGAACACGACGAAAAAATTGAGAATAAAAATACGATAATAAGCAAATACTAGAGACTTTTAGTTCTATATAATCATTATTTATTAATTAACATAAATAAATCTAAATTATTACCATTACATTTTATAAATTCAAACAAAATATTTCAAACATGGTTAAAGTCGACTTTTCACATAACCAACAAAAGTCAACAACTCAGTGAAAATTAATTAAAAAGCCACACCACCTCTCATTTTTCTTTACAGTAAATATCTGTGTGATTGATTTACTTTAGTAATTAGTCTCCAAATTTATTTATTTTTAGTTTGCTTATAATTTATATATAAATACAAAGGGTATGCTTTAAGCTACGACATGGTCCACCAGCTCACATAGCCATCTCACTCGAGGCAAGTGAACTAGAAGAGCGTTTTCTTTCTATTTTCACCGAGCCTAATTTAGGTCGAACCGAACATTATTGCACACGATAATTAATAGATATTTTTTATGTCTCTGTTTATGAAATTTGTCTTAGTCTTCTTTTTTTTTTTTAGCACATATGTCACACGTGTTTATGTTGATTGAATATTGCAACAAGCCAGAAAAAAAAAGCTCGACTCGAGCTTTTTTGGGGCCCGAGACGAGCCCGGCAAAAAAAATAAGGCTCGGCTAGAACTTTGGCCCGAGGTTTAGCGGGCCGAGCTGGCCCAATTTTTTTAATTTTTTTTTCTTTATAGGCAACTTTTAAAATTTTTTTTATTAATTACACTGGTCGGCCAAGTTCAGGCCGAGCCCCAAGGCTCGATTCCATCGAACTCGAGCCGAGCCTAGTCGAGCCCCAACGCTCGATTCCATCGAGCTCGAACCCGAGCCCGGCTCAAACTTTTTCCCGATCGAGTCCTAGCAACCCGAACCGACGAGCTTTTTTGCCATCGCTATATACGGTTGAGGAGGTAACAAGTGTTGACAAATGAAACCTTATTGTTGGGTGCACATGTAGAAACATTTACAGGCATAATTATTGATTCAAGCTATATATGATTGATCATCTAGAAGAAACTCAACAATATTGTGAAAAGGTTGTAGCAAAAAGGGGGTAACACAAAAGATTGTGTAGGTGACTTAAATCTTTGATGGCCTTTAAGAATCAACACGTCACCTCGAGAAGTTTGAAGTTGTCAACAATCTTAGTCCCATTATATAAGGGCACAACTTTAATATCTTATCATTGACGTTCTACATTTTTTTATATTTCGCGATAAAGTGTGCTCCCACACTTCACAAAATGCAATTGAAGGAGTAACGAGTTCATGACCTTTAGCTGAGCAAGATTTTCATATCTTTGGTGGGTGAGAGTCGAGATTTTACCAGAGATTTTTCGTGTTAACACGTGTCCCAATTTGTATCGACCATAACACATCTCATGTTCATGCGAGTGTAATAGTGGTCCAATAATAGTAGTACTTTTGTGGGATTCACGATTTGCTGAACCCCATTCTCCCATTGCTATCCACTAACGCTTATGGCTCTATATAAACCATAAAACCTTTCTTTTCTCTATCACTGATCATCTCATTCACTTTCACTTGCAAATCACACTTCATACTCTTCTCAACCTCAAACTCTACAGATTTTTCATTTCGAAAATTCTTCCATATAAACTTCCTTCAAGGGGAAAGGAAGTATTCTCTATGGATATTGTTTCCGCTATCATATATATTCTTCTATTTGTTTCTACTCTTTTCTCATATTATTTTTCAAGAAAACAGAACAGAAAATATAAAGGAAGACCCAAATTGCCACCAGGCTCCATGGGTTGGCCTTACCTTGGAGAGACTCTCCAGTTATACTCCAAAGACCCAAATATTTTCTTTGCTGATAAGAAAAAAAGGTATTCTTTTCTTTCCTCTCGGGACGTCGCATGTTTGGTATGGAGTATTGATCCTCGACAATACGACAAACAAGATTTTAACATATTTTTCTGGGGTTTTAAATAACTTAGGATCTGATGTGCATGGCGTTTATTTCATGCAGATATGGAGAAATATTCAAAACTCATATTCTTGGGTGTCCTTGTGTTATGCTAGCAAGTCCGGAAGCGGCACGATTTGTGCTGGTGACTCATGCTCACTTGTTCAATCCCACATATCCGAAGAGTAAAGAGAAAATGATCGGCCCCTCCGCCCTGTTTTTCCACCAAGGAGACTACCATAACCGCCTCCGGAAGCTAGTTCAGAGTTCACTATCCCTCGAGCATCTCCGGAAATTAATTCTTGGCATTGAAGCCATAGCCATCTCAACCTTGGAGTCATGGACATCTGGACAAGTGATCAACACTTTCCAAGAATTGAAAAAGGTACGTTTCAGACTTCCATTATATCTAGTGATAGAAATATAAAAATCCAAGTAGTCGACTTTAAATTTAGCTAGGAGGGGTAGGGTTGGGTAGGGTCCTCCACATTTTTCTAATAACTATCATGAATCATCTACAGTTCTCTTTTGAAGTGGGCATTTTAGCTATTTTTGGCCACTTGGAGAAAAAACAGAGGGAAGAACTGAAGGAAAACTACTGCATAGTAGATAAAGGCTATAATTCTTTCCCTACAAATATTCCAGGAACTGCATATCACAAAGCACTACAGGTACAAATTAAGTCATAAAATGTACACCAGCATTAGCCTAAGGTACTCACTATTGAAGCTTTACAACTGACTGTTTTTTGTGATGAATTAGGCAAGAAAAAGGCTAAACAAGATTCTTAGTGAGATACTCCGTGAGAGAAAGGAGAAAAAATTATTTGAAAAGGACCTTTTGGGGCATTTGCTCAATTTCAAAGATGAAAAAGAGCAAACTTTAACCGAGGGTGAAATTTCTGATAACATTATTGGAGTTCTTTTTGCTGCTCAAGATACGACGGCTAGCGCTTTAACATGGATTCTCAAATACCTTAACGACAACCAGAAACTTCTCGAAGCTGTTAAGGTACTTACTTGTTGAACTACCTCGACTGAAAGCTTAAGATGACAAATGTATTTTAGATTCTGTCTTAAATTTTGACGAATTATAATTGTGATATGATCACTGCAGGCAGAACAAAAAGCAATCTATATGGAAAATGATGAAGGAAAGAGGCCATTGACATGGGCACAAACTAGAAATATGCCATTCACATATAAGGTACCCAAACGTAAACCAGTACTGTATACCAAACATTAAACACGATTGAAGAATAAAAAAAAGGTCAATATTTGGCCTAGCTATCATCTTGTTACCCGCACCTCTTTCTAAATCATGTCTAGTCATATTTAATCCATTGCACACAATAATGATTGAGTCACCTAGCAACGTTTATATTGACAGGTTATTTTGGAGAGCTTGAGGATGTCAAGCATAGTGTCTTTCACCTTTAGGGAAGCTGTGGTTGATGTGGAATTTAATGGTGAGTATGCTAGTAATTCGTTAAAAAGTATAGAATTAAGGTTGGGATAATTAGCCTTGACTTTGGCTGCTCAACTTTGTAAAGTGAGCTTTTTAGTCCTCAACTTATCTGAATATGTGAATTTAGAACCCAAGTGATGCAAAACATCATTATGAATGTTAAATTGGTATGTGCAATTAATGTTAAATACGTGAATCTGGCCCCACCGTTATATCTTTGACGATTTTTCCACCAGATATAAGTTACGTACAATTTTAACATACACTTGAAGACTCAGATTCTCCAATCAAAAGCATGTTAATCGAAACTCTGGTCATACTTTTCTATTTCAATATACCTCGAAATAAAATATGAAAGAGATTGACACGAAATATCTTGACAGGTTATCTTATTCCCAAAGGTTGGAAGGTGATGCCACTATTTAGGAATATTCATCACAATCCAGAATATTTCAATGAACCTCAAAATTTTGATCCATACAGATTTGAGGTATGAAATAACGGAGCAGAAAAGTATATTTTCCAAACATTTCTAGAAAAAGAAAAGTAAATTTTTGAGGTGATGTTTTATTAATTTTTTTGTGGCTGCAGGTTGCCCCAAAACCCAATACTTACATGCCATTTGGCAATGGGGCCCATTCCTGTCCGGGAAATGAACTTGCCAGGCTGGAGATGTTGATTTTGATCCATCGTCTGGTGACGAAGTTAAGGTACAATAATGACTATTAAATTAATTAAAAAAATCAGAAAAATAAAAAATCTATCTGGTAAAATAACCACACCATACACTTAGTGTAATATTTCTCCGACTAATGATCGCTTTCAAACTCATTATTTAAAATATGTTGTGTGAATTTGTAATTGTACATGGAGAAGTGCATAACATTTTCATAATCTTGATGAATATAGTAAACCATTCACAACATATTTTCATGTCGAATTTGAATTTTTCTTGTTGAACCCATCAAGTTGGGTTAGTGTACGCATCAATATTTTTAAACTTTAGTAAATGAGCATGGGTACTTATGTTATGCTAAGTATCAATGACATAAAATATCAATTCATTGGTGGATATAGGGATGACAAAAAAATTTGTTCAACCTGATACTCGCAGGTCCATCCCGAATGGGGTGGGGATTACCCTCTTAATTGGGTAAACGAGAATCTTTGCATCGAAACGAGTATGGGAAATATGATTCTGTCACCCGCTCCACTTTAACCGAATATGGGGGTGGGACAAAATAATAAAAATACCCAATGGGACGGGGGACGAGAATAGTCGACCTGCTCCATATTCGTCTCGTCATCATCCCTAGGTGGACGAACTTATGATAGGCTTCAATATTTGAATTAAATTTGTTATTCCCTAATGAATTGATATGATATATCATTATTGCTTAGTATAAAATGAGTATCGGTGCTCATTTGATCATTTTTCATAATCTGTACAACTTAAATCTATATTTGTTTTAATATACTGCTTTAAGCTATAACCATACGAGTTTTCAAGTCCATATTCAATCTTTGCTGTTGAACCAATATGATTTTAACGATAACACTTTAAACACTCATTATCACTCATTTACCCAAAAAAAATAATAATAATAAATAAAATTATGTATTAAGCTTTTATATAAAATATATATTTAATTTGTATATAATGTATAATGTTGAAAATATAAATATAAATCGATATTTTTTATTTTTTCAGGTGGGAAGTAGTTGGTACCCAAAACTTGGTAGAGTACAGCCCATTTCCAGTTCCACAGCATGGGCTTCCTGCTAGATTTTGGAAAGAATCTGACACTCAAGAAATTACAATTTAGGAAAATGGAAGAAATATGCCTGTATTAATCTGTATCTGTTATCTGATAAATAAGTTGAGAATGTTAAGAAACAAGAAATATATTTATTTTTATTTTTATTCGCATTATATAGTGCATTAAAACCAGTTACTTTCCTAAATGTTTAATAGAAATATCGAGATTGAAATAAAAAGACGAAAGAACTAAGGTTCACGTCTTCCTTCACGTGAATGTCAGCATCAAATCAATGTCCACTTAACAATATCGACGGCAAGGCAATGCATGCAGTGCACAAAATTGGAAGTACCTTCAGCTTTGGGGAATCCTTTCACATCCAAAGATAATGGACCGCCGGCCAAGCTAATAGAAATGGTGTTCAATGAATTACCAGTGCGACTGTTCTCTTTCGTATGGGACCCACCCTTTCTTTGAATCTGAAACATGAATTCAAGATGAGCACCAATCGTGTATGTTCAATGTCATTGGTTTTTCCGCATTGAAAGTTAAGGCCCCGAAAATTGTAAATTGATTCTCTATTATTTTCTTCTATTCTGATTACGTTCGATGTGTGGAGCTTAATATATAATATTTTTTTCCTTATTATGAGGATGCTTTGAAAATTTGCATATATTATTTCCATCATAATAAAAGATATTAGACCAGGCCTCATTTTGTGAAAGGAGAGAGAGAGAGAGTTTGAAACAAATTATAACCCTCTTTTTAGTATAGTTCCTGTTTGGTGGGGATTAAAATAAGTTTTTTAATAGATGTTGATAAAAATTAACGAAATATGTGATTGAAAAATTGTGAATTCTATAAAATATGTGGTTTTAATCAATAGTCGACTTTAACTTAGAACACAGACGTGCCTGTTTGGGTCAGATTAAAATCTAATTTTAATCTAAGTCTGAGTTAAAGTCAAACAATCAATATTAATCACATCTTTCATGGGTCTCATATCTTTTCAACCACACATTTCAAAAACTTCTATCACAATCCACTAAAAATCTAATTTTAATCCCCACCAAACACCCTCGCAATGTTATTCAACTCGGCAAACAAGTATTCTATCGGCATCATGGGCCTGGTCCTTATTTTGGCCCACATAAAGTATAGGATTTGACAACTACAGCGGTGTAAACTGTAGTCATAACTCTCACAAGATCCCCACTACTACTTCAGTCCATTCCTTCCTCACTGCAGATATTTGGCGCGAAATTTGGGCAAACATACATGGAAGGAGTGTTTTTTGTTTAGTATTTTGCATATTTTATGGTTTAAGAATACCGGAGATTAAGTGCAAACCGGTACTGTAAATGTGCAATGTAGCTTTTGCTTTTGTCGCCGCCTGGACAGATTTATCTTTCAAGTAAGTTTCTTGCCGTCTTTCTGAAGAAACTAGTATAGACACTGAGGACACCGCGTTGAAAAAATTATCCTTTTCAATTCTCACTCATTAGAAGAGTCTTCATTTCCTATAATTCGTTGCATCTATGTCAGAGGCTGGCTGTATGGTTGTTGAGCAGTTGAACCAGTCTACTGAATCTTGATGAGGCTATAAGGGTAAAGACCGTGACGTGTTCAGAATCTCTGTGGCTGTTGAATTGTGTTAGAATTGGCTAAGTATAAATATGGAAAAGTGACTTTCGTGTTAATTTCGATCAAATATTCTGACTTGATCCGATAATTAAATTATGGAAATAAATAGACTAACATGTTCTACTCGTCGAGTAGATATTTGTGGTATATTTGGAATAATAAACACAATTCCGGATAAATGAGAAATTGCGGTTCAAAGTTAGAAGGAAGATAGGAAATTGGCTGAAAAATTGTCCAATTCCGCCGCTCGCCTAGCACTCGAGCAGTGAGGTTTTCGCTCGAGTGACATGCTAGAGGGACAACAAAGTGATAGAGTCTCTGTTTCTGAAGCTCGAGCAACGCAAGGGCGACAGATGAGTGACAACAAAAGTTGCGACCGTTGGCAAATGTTACTGAGTTTTAGGGCGCGACACTTCACTCACAACATTTTCTTCTCTATAAATAAGATCATTGGGATGTCCATTACTCTATCCCAATTATATGCAATCATAGCCTAACATTAAATTCATTTTTTCCTAGCCAAAACTCCGAATAAAAATATGTTTTCCATTTCATTCTAGAATGTGTACAAAAACCAATTTTCGGTTTGTTTTTCTTGTGTTTTGGAGTGCTACAAACTCAAGAAGATAGTAGTTGTATCTTGGGAGTTGTTTGTCATCATCCGTAGGCACCGTTGCAAGGCAAAATCGACTTAAGGACGACTTTGCATCCATTTCTCTTGGCATTACTTTGGCGTTTTTTTCTTTGGTGTTTTATTACTCATTTTCTTGCCTTTATTCTGTTAAAATTTTGGTAGGGTTGGTAAGTTTTGATTTTTTATTTTAAAGTCATCACTCAAATCTATTTTCCATCAACAATCTTAAGTCGATTTTTGGTTAAGTGATAATTGTATATTTCATTCCTATTCGGTTAAACTGATTTCGTTTCGGTTTAACTTCTTCTACTCCTTCTCGAATTTTGATTTTGTTGGTCTATCTTCTAGTTTGTGTAAACAGAAATGAATACGATTAATAATACCGATACTTCTTCGAATGATACATTGAATATGGGAACTTCGAAATGAATTGTACCTAACTTGGCTCTTACCGTGATGATTCCTCCTATTGCGGTTGCCCCTCCCACCATTCATACTAATTCCGTTCTACATGGAGAGAAATCAGAGAAGTTTAGTGGGGTTAATTTCAAGAAATGGTAACAGAAAATGTTGTTCTATCTCACGACCCTAAACTTAACAAAATTCTTAAAAGAGGATACTCCCACCGTACAAGAAGAGGAAAATAATAGGGCATCGTTGATTACATTGGATACTTGGAAACATTCCGACTTCTTATGCAAAAACTACATTTTGAATGGGTTGGAAACCACATTGTATACTATGTATAGTTTCATGAAATTTGCAAAGGAACTATGAGAATTGTTGAAAAAGAAATACACGAATGAAACGCATGAATTAAGAAGTTCATTGTGAGAAAATTCTTAGACTACAAAATGGTATATTCAAGGACAATCATCATTCAAGTACAAGAATTGCAAACTTATTCAATGGTCACCACTAACTGTTTTTCCTTGTAAGCCACGAAACAGATAATCCATGTCATAACAAAAGAAGTAGTTGAATAAGATACGAGAGAGTCATGCCTTTACAATACAAGAAGGTTCCCCGAAAAGAGATCCAGACGATGCTCACTCCTGATCCCACCTTTCTTAGGTGGGTATGAGTGTATCTTAATAGCCCATGATCAACGAGATAGGTACTTTGAACTTCCTATATGTATTTGGATTGAACCACTTGAAACACTTCCAGTGTGTAGGAGATAACCACCCTCCCTGCCGGCCCGTAAGGCCGCTCTANGTAAGGTGACTAAGATCTTTGATACTGTGTCCAATCCCGAAATTCGTCGGAGTTTGGTGAACCAACTGGTTGCTCCTTTAGTTGAAGTATCGTTTTTTTATTTTTCCCAGGCCCTTTCTGAAATAGACATGACATTCACGCCAAGAATATGCCTTTAAGTGAATCTTTTCAAGTGGTTGCAACAATCGAGAAGCTTCTATCCATGTGGAAGGATTTCAAGAACTATCGCAAGTATAAGCGTAAGGAGATGAATATTGAAGAACTCATTATCCGGTTGCAAATTGAAGAAGATAACAGAAATTTGGACAAGCGTATTGGGAGTCATATACCACAAACAAACGCTAATGTGGTGGAATTAAATAACAAGAGCAAGAAAAGAAAGCATTTTGTTGAACCATCCATGAAGAATGCAAAGAAGTTTAAGATAAATTGCTATAATTGTGGAAACGCCGGACATCGCTCTGTTGATTGTCGTAAACCTAAGAAGCAAGCCCAAACGAATATCATCGAATCTAATGCAATATATGATGGTATATCAGACATAAATGTGTCGGCCATTATTTCAAAATGCAACAATGTTGAAAATATCATGGAATGGTGGGTGGATACATGTGTGACCCGTCATATTTGTGCCGACAAAGGCATGTTCTCATCCTACACCCCAATCGATGGTAAAAAGCTGTTCAAGGAAAACTTTTCAATTTCAAAAGTGGAAGGACAAGACAAAGTAATTATGAATATGACATCGGGCAAGAAATTTAGCCTTAATAATGATCTTCATGTACCTGATATTCGCAAAAACTTAGTGTCGGGATCTTTGTTAAGCAAAAATTATTTTAAATTAGTATTTGTATCTGATAGGTTTATACTTACCAAGAATAATATGTATGTAGGCAAATGCTATGTAAAAGATGAACTATTCAAGATGAATATCCTTACGATTGTACCAAGCAACTCAATTATTAGAATTTGGGTGTAATCAGAATTTCTTGTTTGAAGTATTGAAATTTTTTAATTGAAGTGCACGTCAACAAGAATTTAGTATGGAATGCTATTAGCGTCTCAAGTCAAGTTGAAGTTCTATCTTGGAAGCCCATTGGGAGTTGGAAATTGGTATTGGACATGAAGAAGAATTTGGGATGGAGAAAACAATTTGAAAAAAAAAAATTCAGGCAGAACACCCGACGTCGAGGTGCCCGGATGTGGCGCCGTAGCCCCCACCTCACCTGTTTCGGGTTTTCCACATTTTTCTCTCCTTTTCCGTTTTGAACTCGATTTTTTGATCCTACTTCATCAACAACTCTACTAAGAAGGTTTGGACATCCCCTACATATTTTATACAATTTTATAAGTGTGAGAAACTAGATTACTAGAATTATAGGATCCATTGTAATTTTCTCTCTTCTCCATTATTCTTAAGTCAAATAAAATATCTTAATTCATCTGCCATATTTCTTATCTTTATTATTCTTTTACTTGATCTAATACTTCATTATTTGTCATATAA